CTCAGCAACGTTGTAGTTGTATTTCGCTTAGTACCCTGCCGCGAAATTATAGTAGGCAGAAAATAAAAAGGTATAACATTCTAAAACTTAAATTTAAACAAAACTTATACGCCTTAAACATCTTGGAAAACTTATACATTCCCGTATAACTCACAAGATCTCTTCTATTTTCTTCACTGGATGTCTTCAAGTCTTCCACTCTTAGACATATGGAAAAATCACCAGCGGTCATCCAGAACTATCGTCGTAATCAATGCCTTTATAAATTTAGCATGTATTAATAGAATTTAAAATTGTTAGCACCGAAAGGTTGGACCACGGTCGAACACTGCTACGTGACAGCGATTTGTTGGTCCACGAATATCTTCATGTGGTACCAATTTTAACCAGTGCTATGTTTTCGGTGTCATCCTTTTTTATTGCTTTGTATTAGTCAACAAAAAGTTGATTCTTCTTATTTGTGCAGTTATGGCGACCTCATCATCCAATCAGTTTATGAAAGCCGTCAGACTTGAATCATGGCTTGAAGAAGCTGAAGATTTCTTATCTTCGTTTATGGAAAACAAGGTTGCAGTGGTCTCCTTAGTAAGTGACTCTGGACCATCCTTATTTCCTTTGTTCCATTTGTTTCCTCCCCTTTATTTAGGTTGGTAAAGATTCTTTAACTCGAGCCAAAGGTGAAGATTTGAACGATTTTTTACAAATGGACGTGTTTCCACGATGGACAGATGAAGAAAACGCAATGTCGGTCTGTCTTCAATCGCTTACTCCCTTCTTTGTTTTTTGTTTATTAGCGAATTAATCGTTTTTTGGCTCATTTTAGGAAGAATTATAAGTCAATTAAGTTGGCATAGAGTTACATTTTCGAGAGGGTAACTGCAGCCCTCATAATCAGACTCATTGTGTGTCCTAAGGACAGACGGCAGTGGCTTGATTTTCAGATTCAAGTTTTCTACTGTGTGGATACGAACGCTATATTCATGATTCTGAATGGTTACAATGATTTTACACATCTTCGGAAGACTTTCTCTTCCAATCCTGATAAGGTACTCACATTCCGTTAACCATGCTATTTTTAACTTTGTAGGTATAACCACAATGATGCTGAAATATTTGCAAAGCTAGCTGAGAGGAAGGCAAAGTAAAGACTCCAGTGGTGCCGTGCGTAACACGCGAGACGCCGTAAAGGGTAATCGCGGGTTTGATCTGAGCTGGGGTCGAAGTTTTCAAACATATCGGGATCATTGTGGTTGCATTTCACATCAAACTTTGTCGTGAAGAATTACAGTAGACAGTAAATAAAAAGTTAACTTTGTAGGTTTGGTTTTGTAAAGCAGTCTTTTGCTCGATCTTTAGCTCGTTCTTTCAGAACTTTTTCGAAAAATTTGCTGAAAGTGAGGAGATTCAAGTGCGACTGCTACACTTTATCAGTATATTTTCTCATATAATTGTGTTTGTTGAGAGCAACACGCGTTTTGACATTTCGCTGTCTGACATGTTATCAATTGTGAATAAAGTAAGGTGCGTTGAGGATTGCTAAGCCATTTTTCCAACTTGGGATTAAATATTGATTGTAACAACTGGTAGTGCCATGTCCAAAATGGGTTTCTAAACTTTTTTTGGCACCAATGATCCTCCGTGGTTGTGTTTTTAGAAAGAATGTCCGTGAGGATGTTAGTGAAATCCTAGAACGGACGTCAAAAGAAGCTACTGAGTGGATTCGAGAAGGTCGCATTGCCTGCCCTCGAATTTTGTTTGCTTTCCAGAGAAACATTATACGTAATGAATTAGGCTGTGTGAAAAAGGTATGTGCTTTATTTTATCTTGTTAACTTAAAGTCCAAGAACCATAATGTTGATGGCACCGTTAGGATAAAAGACTGGCTGAGAGAAAGGCGAAACGATGGACCCGCATGATGTGGTAGTGAACGCGCTAAACTCCGGAAAGGGTATTAGCGTGTTCTGTCTCCACTGCGGGTACCAGCGGTCCGGAGTTTTGCGAATATCTCAGCAACATTATGGTTATATTTCACAACATACCCTGCCATGAAAGAATAGACAGTAACTAAAAAGTAACTACATCGTGAACTACACTTTTTTAGCGTGAAATATGTGATAAGCTTGAACACAATCTTGAGTCGCAGATATACTCAATCCTCAAGTGCTACAAATTAGTGGATCAGTCAGTGTAAGTTCGTACGTTATATGTGTTTACCATCGTTAAAAGAGGCGCGTGTGACGCAGTGGTCAGAGACGCCCTGCAATACACATGGTATCGATTCCAGCGCCCCTATTTCACCAGTCCTTCCATCCCTCTGGGGTCGGAAAATTATACCAGACCTGTATGCGAGTATAGCAGCACTGGCTCAATATGATCACCGCGAGTTATTGTAGAAGCCAGATATGCATCAAATCACCCCAAACGATGCTTAATGAAGTTAAATGCATGGGCACCTCTCAGCGATTGATGAACGTCAAGAGCTTTATTCTTTTTGTGCCATGATTAATGGATAAAGTTTTCTTTATCATTTACAGGGGTGATTCTTTTGGTTACCTTTCTGATGGTGACCCTTTTGTGAATATAATGCAACCTGTGTCAGTCAACATTAATCCACTGGCTGACATTCTTCAAATTGCGTTGGGAAAAGAAAACAATGACGAGACAGATGAGAAGTTCGAACGTATGCCGTTATTAATCTGTACTTTTTGTGTAATTGTGTTTCTTGTTAAGGAAAGTTGCAAGGCGCTTGAATGTTCTGTTGAAATCGATGCTAAATGTACTTGTAGAGAATGTTTACTTACAAAGAATTTATCGGTTAATCGTCGCTGTAATGCTCATTTTTAAGGAACGCCTACTTTTGTTAGATTTTTGTGCATGCACCATAGCTCAGTCCGAAGTGGGATGCTGAAAATCTATGAGGTAAATATTTCGTCACTAATTTCTCGTGTTCGCCTCAGCTTTTCTTTTATTCTTTCTAGATTCCAAAACTTGAACTATGGATTAAATATGCTCGTGCTGTTTCTGGGATTATTAAGCCAGATTCAGAAATTGTTACAAAGAAGTTGCTTAACCAATATGTTAATAGACAACTTCAGTTTATGAGAATGTAAGTCTCCATTGTAACAGCTCTCACTAGTTTTACCTTTGTTTCACTTCTTTCTCCTTCCTTGTCTCCTTCTCTTTCTTCCTTTACGCCTTTCCTTTACGCTCTCTCTCATTTTCTTCCTTGCTTGATCATTGAGAATGCCAAGTAGTGCTTCAACGTAACATCGGGTTTATCATCCTACTATGAACCTTTGATTTCATAGGTTGAATGCGAGACATATAAAGGAAGCCATAGCCCGGTACACGGGTACATCTTCAGGTTTTAATAAAGCTAAAACAATTACTGATCGGACTCGAAACCAGGTTGTGTTCACAAAAGCTGAACACGATGAGAAGGTATTTTCGTTTTTCTCACATCATTCTGGTGAGTAAGTTTACAGCCCTGTTTTCTATCATATTCGAACAGTGGTGATCTTGAGGTCGCTGTCGCAATTGCATATCTCGATGCCGTTTTGGTTGGAGATCGCGATGAAGCGATAGCCCAGGTACGAGCTGTATGCGACAATCTATGGCAGGGTGGCATGCGAGGCTGTGAGCAAGTTTCCATGACTGGAAATCGTTGCCAGCTGAAGGTATGACATAGTGTTTCGCTCGTTTGTATCTTTGTTTTTCGCCTTTATGGTACAGTGCGTCATCGTGGGTGTCGGGCTACGATTTATAGTGGTAAGATTCGTCCCCATAGCACGACCTCCCTGGCTGAGAGGGAGTCCGGCGTTTCCATGAGGAAGTCTAGCTAAGAGTAAAGCAGTATCAGGATCCACCACCGTCCTGGTATCAAAGTCACATAGTGGCAAATCTCCCTCTGATCCACAAGAACGGCAACTGCCTGTGATAGTGACGAACTGGGGCAAACTTTGGCTGGGTTGACCTTTGACTCCAGGAACCACGGTGGCTAAACCAGCAAAATTCAAAAGAATGGGGATTGTGCTAAGGCCCATACAACCAGTAGTTATGGGCCATTCAAGTAACCAAGTAAGTATTTCGCCTTTTTGCTGAACTATTTAGCAGATTGTTATACCTTTTTTATTTTCTGCCTACTATAATTTCGCGGCAGGGTACTAAGCGAAATACAACAACGTTGCTGAGATATTTGCAATACTCTGGACCGCAGGTGTCTATGGTGGTCCAGAGTTTTGCAAATATCTCAGCAACCTTGTGGTTGTATTTAGCAGATTCTTATAAGGCGTTCTTTTTACGGTTGAACTCATTTTACGTTGTTCGTTTATAAATGTATAGGTGTACGGAAGAAATCTCGTGTTCTTGTAATTGTGTATTTTTATGTGGCGCAGTGGCCAGAGGCACCCTGCTATATACACATGGGATCTATCCTCGCGCCTCAGGCTCACCAAGCCTTCCATCTCTCCGGGGTCTGCAAATTGGTACCAAACTTGTTTGGAAGGATAGCAGCACTAGCTGGATACCTCGATGAGCCAGTATGAATCATTGTAGAGGTCAGATATACCTTCAGTTGCCTCCAGTGATAATTAATTAAGTCGAATGCATGGCACATCAGTCAGGGATTGATCAACACCGAGAGCTTCATCCTTTTTTATGTATGCCTATTTCACTCAACTTGAAGGTTATTTTCTAGTTAAATTTACAGATTGAGTACTAATCAGGTGATATATAGCGCAGTGAAGTTGATTGACAGGGACTTTTTTTTCAAAATATTGAGGAATTTTTAAATTTAGCTACATCCAAGCTTTCTTCAGGTTCATCCAGCAGTAGGTGATGCTTCCGTAGATCCTAGTTCCTGGGAAATGCATTCGAATGATGTTACTTACCTATCAACATGCTCATGTGGTCGGCGCCAAGCAGTACGCAAGGATCCATTTACTCTCAAGGTTCTCTTGTTTTCACTATTGGATTGTCTTTTACATTTGCGAATTTCGTCTCTTTTAGGAAGCAAATTACGATTTTTATTTCGAGAACAGTATTTTCTCTTGCTGTGCTAGCCTAGAGAAACATGTATTTGCTGTGCTGGAAGACGATGACAAAAATGCCGAGAAAGGATTGGTTGGTTGATGTCATCTTCCTTGGTCCATAGGAATTGCTGCTTTACTGTGTATTAGGCTTTATTCCCAGTGGTCTGTTAGCGAGAACTGGGAAGAAGGCGAAGGCGGTGGATCGAATCCATTGTTTGCTGTCACTTCGGCTATGTCAAGAGAGCGACGGAACTCTGATGAAGATGTCCCTACTGGGATTGACGATGAAGAAGGGACTGCGAGTGATAGTGGCGAGGATACTGTATGTCATTCGCTGATATGTTTTAGATTTCTAAAAGACCTTAATTTTAGTTTTATTTGTTCAGTTTGGTAGAGGTACACTTAGAAGGTTATGTCTCATTCTAAATCACTTGTTAAGCCTTGGTAAAATGCGCCGTGATTAAGTTTATTCAAGACCATGTTAATCAAACATTAGAGTTAACTAGTTCGAAATCATTGATTTTGGAGCAGATATGATTCTAACTCTGACAGACCATCAATGGAACATATATTCTGCTGGTTGAAATCTCATTGTAGGTTAGTAATACTGAGCATGAGACACTTGGAAGTTCTTCTCATTCATCACAAGACGAAGACGTACGTTATCGTGATATGCGGTCTTACTTAGATGATGAATCAGGTATTATGGTTTTTAACTAATCGTTATATGTTGGTTTTATTATACCTTCTTCATTGCCGTAGCTTATTCGTAAGCTCCACACCCTCTTATTTTAAAGTATTAGATATGTTCATAGTTTTATTGTTCCAGTTTCGTTCGTCAAAAATCCACAGACTAAATTAGACGAGGCTGCCATTGCGTTTGCTGCCCGGTTGAAGAAGCTAAGAGATAAGCAGGTTTGGTTCTGCAAAATTGTACATTTTTATTTTTCCTTCGATAGTATAAGGCTTAAAATGCTGTTATATTGTATAATTCAGTTTGAGGCGGGTGTGAATAATCGACCATTTTTTCATTTGAATTCATTATTTTTGAGGTTCCGTTTTTGGAAGGAGTTCCACATTCGCTTTCTCCAGCGTTACCTCCTCTATTTCCTTCATGGACGTTAACGTGTATTGGCCCTAACAACTATTACACGTACATTGTAGTTTCTCATACCATTACAGTTTTTGATTACGAAAGGATTTCTTTGCTTTTCCAGGCATTCCTATGGGCTTCGCGACCAGCCAAATCTGAAGCTGGGAGGTGAATATCTGTATCCAGTTACTGTTCAACTGGAGGTTCGTGAGAATTTTGTTGTGATTCGTTCCGGAAATTACGATCACTTTTAAAAATGCTGGTGGGGTAAAAGATTTATGTAGGTAGTGCCTCACCTTGCTGCTGTTGAAGTCTTCGTAGTGTGAAGGTGAGCGAATTCCAATCGCACCTATGAGACATCGTTGTATAATGCTTACGAATTTATAATGTAATTTTTCAACGTTACGACTTGTGAGGATTGGGAGTGACAGATCATGATTTTCTCGGTAGATTTTTTGATACTTTTATTAGATTCTCTATTTTTTCGATTCGGGAAACAGATCTGCATGTTTTTACAATGTGCACAATGGCAGGTAGATCCATTGATGTGGGATCGTGATATGCAATATGTGCAAGCCGTTGAAGGATTGTCATCACGTGCACTTCCTAGGAAGACGCGAAGATTGCCATCTGAGATTGAAAAGGTATTTTCGACCAATAATCTTGTTTTATTCGTCTTTGGATTACTAATCATTTACAGGTGAAGTTATTCATTGGAATGGAATATGAATGTCCTAGAGGTCATCGTTTCTTCGTTGCTGAGAATGGAGAACCGTTAAGAGTTCCTAAAGTGAGAGGTTACCTCTTTTAATACTTAAACCAGGATGCCTTGTTCAGATTACAAGAGAACTTAAGAAACTGAGCTTTACAGACTTACAGAATGGAATTTGACATATCGCTTTAAGGGTATAAATAGTAATTCGCAGGACCGGCTTAAATAGTTCTACAATTCGAAACTTGTTCAAAGTTCAGACTTATAAAGACTCGAAAATGAAGTCTGAATAGCTAAAAAACACAGCGCAAGAACAGCAAGCGCAGACATCAATAATACATTACGGTATGCCATCGTACACTTCTGGAAGGTATCTTACTTTGTTGTTCGAAATTCTCAGTGGAAAACGGCGAGAAAGTACGATTTGTGGGCTCCAGAAAACCAGAATTCCAAATTGTTTGGGCAAAAAAACTTGCATCTTGTTACCATGATCTCCAGAGTGCAATACTTTTATCTCCATTAGCGAAATTCGACTGAGTGAGTGATCTTAGATATATTTATTCAGTGTCTAAGGGGATGGTTACTTATTTCTTAGTGCATATGCATTGGAATGAATGTATATTGTGTGAATGCTTTACGCTTATTCGATAATGTAAAAGAACACTTCAGAAAAGCGTAAGTGTTCCGGGCTAAAGAGTAAACGAGCTTGGTGAAAGTTCATCTAGTTACTGCTAAATTGAGATTGTTCTAAATACGGACTGTGAAATGGTACTGTTTATGAAGAGGCTGAATGGTTGAAAACTTTTCGATTTTATTTTGGTAGGTTATTCCAAACCAGGAGGATTCTATTAATAGTTCTGATTTTTATAGAACTCGAATGCACGAACAGCAATGAGTCGGGAATCGGATGACGAATTTTTACATTGTGACTTCCCACTCCGGAGGCAGTGCACGTGCAGAAAGTTGCCCGTGCAGGCAGCTCAGTTAATGCGAATACACGTCGTTACACCAAAGGCACCCATCACAGTAACCATTCAACCAGCTGTGGAGGTTGGATGAAGTTTTCTTCTACAGATCTACGGTAGTTTGATATATCATCTTTAAGAATAAGTAGTAAAAATATGAGATAAACGATGGAGACTCAGAGTAGAATAATAATCCTGGTTTCCCTTTTCCTAATAGTGAAGTTATGGTGGTAGGAAGAAGTGTAGTTCCAAACAAGACTACTATTGTATTTGCGATTAGTGCCAATGAAACGATTTACCCAAAAATTTAAAAGTTGTACATATTGTAGACGCTGTGATAAGAAATGTACATCTTGCATATTTTTGAAAAGAAAAAAATGAAAATTTTTGACAGGTCATTTTAGAACTTCTCGGTGGAGAGTAGCTATTAACCAAAGCGAATATGGTGTCTACTACTGACCCTTTATTGATACGCCGTAATCCGACAAAATGCGAGCAAAGTCACCTTTTTTTCTTATTTTTTTATTTGGCAAAGCTAGCAAAGATACCCAATAGGTTTTTCTCGTTTGAGGAAGACAAACTACCCCATTTTCTTCCAGGTTTCTTCTGTAAAATTCTAACTATCAGATGAGTGGTCTTCCTTTTTTGCGTGCTGTGCAGTGAATCCGGCATCTTGAGTTCTCTTTTATCAGCTCTTATATCTGACCTTCGCCTATACAATCTTGTAGAATTTCGTTGTCCTCTTTCACTTGTGTAAAACGACATAATCGTAGCACCACTTTTTTAAAATAAGGCCTTAGAGAACGCTGATTGCACATCCAGCATCTTATATAAATGAAAAAAATTGTAGAGTTGCAAAGCCGGGAAAAGCTGGTATTCTCCTTCCTCACTCATCATTCTATTTCTTTATGTCTGCTGAATGGGACTTATTGCTCTTTATAAATATTATATTCTTTAGGTGTAATGATAACCATATGTGCACATATTTCCACATGTATGGTCGAAATATATGTGTAGTCGTTTTACGTAGGTAACGGTTGATGGTATGAAAACCGAACACTAGCGAAGCTAAGGTGGACTGGCTGCTTGTTATCTCCTTTCACTGACAAGTCATTGTTTTCCAGTTTCCACGCGACATTTTATACAGTGGCCTAAACAGTTCTGGCATGATGCCGTATTTTATCGAATTCTACTCTTAAGTTGGTTGTAATTTCGTTGTAGAATGACGAAATTCTGACTAGAAGTTGAACTAGCAAATGGTCTTGGTGTGTTCACTAGGGTCGTCCCGGTTGTCCATAATCCATTCCAGGACCAACTTTCTGTTAACTCCGATATTGATCAGTAGGTTCACCTGTTCTTGACAAATAGGTTTGTTATTGCATTGTTCGTTCTACAACAGCTAGCATTTCTGCGGATTTCGCCTTTTTTAGAACAGAGTTTTTTCATGTAATCTGCTTAATGAGGAAAGCCATCGGCGCAAAGACCACATGGAGTGAGGGTTGAAATTTGATATAAAGTAGGAGACTTATTATTTAGGAAAGAATAAATCTTACGGAAAGTTATCCAAGTTAAAGAGTAGTTCGATGTCCCCAATCGGTAATTAAGAAGAAGCATAGAAAATTCGCAACAGCAAATCTTGGCGCACTTTCACCTGAAATGTATTAAAAATGTGAAGGAAATCCTTTACTGGACGTGGAGTGTCTTTGGTGTTCACTTAGCAGGCGAAACGAACTGGTTAACCATGGTATTTTTTGTGCTCTTCCAATTTCCAACTAGATACTGGAACTTAGTTGTTCTAGATGATTCCTGCTTCTCATATACTACCTAATTACTTGACTACAAGCTTTTGGCCAAATCGAGGTATGGGATACAGGTTGTATACACCCAGTTATTCCCACACATATATGCATTAATATGATTACCTGCCTACATACGTAAGAAGTAGGTCAGTTCGACGCAGAGTACATAGACGGTCAATTCCTGAATATACCTTTGTCTCAAGGTATGTACGCACCGTGCGGACTTACGTTTGTTCGGATCAGTACCGCTTAGAAAGGAAAGCTGAGGAATTGTTTAAGAGCAATAAGAGGAAAAGAAAAAATGGGAATTTTCTCAATGTCCATTGAGAAAATGAGAAGTATAGCCTCTTATTTCCTAAACTTTTTATGCATTCAAAATCACATTGTACTAGGGTGTTCCTGCACAACTTGACGTTCAGAAATCGTTAACTTCAACATTCTAATTTTTTGCACTTCTAGCTTCCTGGTCAAGAGGGTTGTTTTGGAACAGGCGAGGCACCTTTGCAGCTTTCTTGGGCTAGGTTTATTTTCATTTATGAATTGTCGTTTTCTGAATAAAGTAGTTGTGTTGCATTTAGGTACTATATACTGCAACTGCCATTCATATATTCGGGTCCATCAGGTGTGTGGATTCCACCAGCTGGAGTCGAACGGGTAGGAACATTCAAGAAAGACGCAATTCAAGTGAAATATATACCCATGCTGTCCAAAAAAATGTTGTAAGGTTGGCGGGACATTATTACAACACATTCACATTTTCTTTTTACGTTTCAAATTTGTTTCAACAAGACCATTATTTTATGGCCAACGTTGAAGCAGTGATTAAATACTGCTTCGTCCTCCTCAGATCTGTCTGTATGTTCAGGAAAACGTGTTTGACCGGTTTTACAAATTGATGATGGAAAAAATGGGTGCCGGAATTGAATCGATCCAGATGACGGACCTTTTTCAAGCATTATATGTCGAATTTCCATGAACCACCGAAGCCGCGTGCAGCTTGGTATTCTTGTGGAAACTAGTTCGGCCTCGTGTCAGCGCAACAGCGCAGTTGCCCTCTCATAGTAGGCCCTGAAAATCATTCGTTGTTTATTTTTTATTCCTACATTTTACATGTAAACGGCTTCTTATGTTTTTTAAAACCTGGAAAGTTCTATGCAGCGCGCTCACGTATAGCACACAAAAGGGTTTTATGAAATATGAGATAGAATTTTTATGAAGTGTTGCATTAATTCTACGCCAGCCAATCTTCTTTGTATGCAAATATGTGTTGTTATAGATTTGTTACATTTCTCTTTAAACATCGGGTTCGAACATTTTTGTATTCATCGTTTACGTCAATTAAACTGCTACATGGTGGTGGTGACCTTTGAAGGTGATACTTCTTTTAATAAAGATGAATGAAAGTAGTACAACACATCCTTAGTCAAAGTGCACGATATTTTCCTCATAGTCAGTACATTCCTTCAGTGCGTACTATTCTGTTCGGAATGAGTTTAATAACAAGCTTGACAGTATGACGGGCTTTTTGTAAAATCGATAAGTCCTATGACGAGTCACTGATATCCTGATATTATATGACGGTGTAAACGTCTTTACACCGTGTTTGTGACGACGTCATCTTCTGCAAAATATTTCTAGTGCCTAGTACCACTCGTTGGAGCGGATATCAGAATAGAAACGAGTTTCGCTGTAAACAAAAAGAGCGGGTGTTTACACCGATGATAACTTTGTTATAGATGATTGTACAGATTTCTGTGTGTGTTTATCAGTCCACCAAACTTAGAGGTGGTTCTGCCAACTAGTCATGACCCCACTTGATAACCACTTTGTGCCATATATCGCTCACATTTCTCGAATCTTCCTTTTTTCTCCTGTACAAAATTAATCGAGAATATGTACTCGTTTTGAGTCGACAGTTGCTCTTTCGCAGATGTTGGCCGTAAGGTCAGTCAAAAAACTTGTGCACTTCATACACATTCCACAGCGTATGCCTATCAAAAAACTTGTCCACTTCACATACGTTCCACAGTATATACCTATTACATCCGACGTACATGCATTGCCTTGAAAAGCATAAAAATAACTTCTTCATGTTTGGATTTGAGCGCTAAAAGTCGAGTTATTTAAATCTGATACACTTAGTATACCGGGTCTTCTCATTTTTACAAAATGTTACATTTCGTGTGGTAAGTTCTAGTAAGGTCAAGTGCAGGTTATGCATTAGGTTTACTCTTTAGCTTTCCATGAAAATGTTGAGTTCTTTACGTAGAGTTGTCTTACGGTGGAAATGAACCCTTGTTCATTGAAATCGCAGCTCGATACTCAGGAAACCTTAATGAACAGCGCGTTAAACGACTACAGGGTTAAGTCATATTTGACGCTGTAGACGGCTTGTTGTGATTAGTAATAAAGCAAGCTAAGTATATTTGTTCACTGCATGAATTAAATAAATTGTTGCCGTGATGCCGTGAGTAACTTTTCCAGTAGTTCAGAAGTCGTGATAGTCTGTGATCATGAGAAATTACAACACCCAATACAACGTGACAGTGTTTTGTCATTGTAACGGTTCTTATCCAGACGTAGCGAGTAGGTGTAGCTATAGCACCAACATGAAACAAACAGAGTAATACCTTGTGTTTGCTCAACAAGAATATCGAGAAATAAACAGATTTTGGCTGACTCGCCAAAAATCGAAGAATGAAGGAAAAAAGCGGTGTTGGTCGAAAAAGCTAACACTGCAGTTACCCAAGAACGATAACCTTTAAAGCGAATCCTAACATTTCTTGCGTTCCATTCTTTTTTCTTACATCCAGTATCCATGGAGCTCTTCCAACTTTCTGCTTGTGAGTTCAGCTTCTGCTTAGCAATTTTTTTCGTCATGAATATTGCTGAATGGTGGTTTAGTCGATTCTCACTAGAGTCCTAAGATAGCTGGGTTAGAGCGTTCTCACTTGGACTGCAGTGAGTGAATTTTTCCCCAGACATGTCCGGCACCAATTTAACAACCTCAGAGAGATGAGAGGCTTGGTGGGCACACAGTGGGTGGAGTACTAGCAAGACTAAAAACATAGCAAAATCAAATTTCAGTGCAAGGAAAAGGTAGGGAAAACCCGAAAGTTTAACACTGAAAAATACCGGCTTGTGGAAGAACGCGAAAGGAAATCGCCATCGACTTCATGCAGAAGTTTTCGAAAACATCTGCAGTCATAAAAGAGTTAGAATATTTAAGAATAAAGTAATAATACAGTATTTATTTAAGAATAAGAAAAGAATATCTTTTTAAATTCAACTGTTTCAGATTGGTAACACCGAAATTCTATCCGCTGAAGCGAAACCACGTGTGGAGAAAAGAACCACTTAAGTATGTTTTTAAATTAGTAGAGGTGCAGGACAGATGAACGAAAAGAACAGTAGAGTGGACTCCAAGAGAATGCAAACGTCCCGTTGGACGACCACGTACACATCGGGCGGACGTGTTCGTAAACAAAGTTAATCAGCTGTACCTACGGCTGAAGTTATTTTACAGATCACAGTATGAGACTCGCACGAGCTACCATGCTCGAACAAGACCACCACCATGGACTACGATTGCGAGAGAAAGGAACGAATGGCATATGTGCTGGGGTCTGCACACCTCGTGAAGACGGACCGTCCAAGTATCCAAGTATGTAAGTATACTAGACGAATACTTCAAGTCGTGGCATGCTGAAACTTTGAAGAGAAAGAAAATGTAAGATATGCGAAATTCTTCCGTAGTGAAGTTGGGCGTGGAAGTGCTAGACAGTAAAGAAAGTATTGCTAGCAAAAGTATAAATTCGGTTTTTTTTACAATAACGAACCGTTTTTCACATCTACTGAGTGAATGTGGCGCGTGTGGCGCGTGTGGTGCTGTGGTTGGTGGCGCCCTGCAACACACACGTGGAATCGATACCCGCGCCCGTGGCACACCAAGCCTTTCATCCCTCCGGGATCGGCAAATTGGTACGAGACTTGTCTGGGAGGGTAGCAGCACTGGCTCGATGCATCGGTAGGCCACCGCGAGTTATTGTAAAAGGACAGATATGCGTTTAATCACCTCCAAACGATGATTAATGAAGTCGAATGCATGGCGCACCCCTCAGGGATTGATCAACGCCGAGCGCTTTATCGTTTTTCTACTGAGCGGATCTCAACACTTCTGCCGATCTATTGGTTTCCTTGCATCAATCAGCCATGAAGTTCTTCCAATTTTCTGCGTGTGGGTTCGGCTCCTGCTTGAGGATTTTTCTTGTCATGACTGTCGTTGAGGGTTGGTCGAGTCGATTCTCCTTGGGGTCTCGGGATAGTTAGGCTAAAGCGTTCCCAATCAGATTTTGGAGAATGTCCTTTTTCCTAGACAAGTCCAGCACCAATTTCCGAACTCTAGAGAGATGTCAGACTCAGTGAACTCGGTGGGGAGTCGAACTAGCACCGTGCTCGTTACGAGCGGCATCAATAGCACTTCACTATCCGCCCGCCCAATGTATGGTTATTAGACTTATGATTGTAAAAATTCATAACTAAACTAATTAAATTTACTTCGAGTTGAGGATATTTCCGGTAAGTGGTACATCCAACGATCGAGAAGGTATGATGCAATAGCGCTGTACAAACTAAGGAGAGCGCTAACTTCCCAGGACAAGAATTTTGTATAATCATAGTGATGAGTGTATTCAAAGCCCTTGCAAGTATTCGAACACTTCACTAACAACGTCTTAACTCCTACACTTCTTAAGCCATAAGGCCGACTATGACCTAAGAGTGTGGTCAACTGCCCTCTGGCCGTAATTGCTTCCATCGTTTGAACATCTCCAGAGCACCTTGATAAGTGTAATGAAAACCTAAAGAAGGGAAAAATCTCTAGCCAAAACCAGCTTAACGGGATAAGGAATTCGATCGATAAGCGTGTTGTTGTTGGCTCGCATAGTGCATTATCGATCCAGACCGATGGGCGGTGCCACACGCGGCAGCCGCTGTCATTCTACCCCTCGGTGCCCTCCCGACCAAGCGAAGTACGCGCGGGGTCGTTCCATTGTTTACTAAAGGTAGTTTTATGTAGTGATGTCGATAATGCCAACATAAAATTGCTATCCGGTCGTTTAATAATGGGCTTCTTAGTCTTCAGGACTTTTATAACGATGTCGTGTTAGTTTAATGATCTACGGTAGTAGTAAATTTCTCAGTGTTTCCTCAGAATGTGAGCATCGATCTCCATCATTGGTGATTTGCTGATAAAAACACCAAGTATAGTTCTGTTAGGCCACGTCTATGCCAGAAATTTACCATGCCTGCTGTTAAATCGGCTACTGTCAAAATAAATTTTTCACAAACGTTTTGCTTCTCGAGTTGTTATCATCATTTTCCAACATCACACACACATCAAGGGAGCTGTTCTGGTGCGGTGTAGTTCATTTCATATATGTATATACATATATGTGTATATATACATATATATATGTATACATAATTGCCAACAATTGTTTTCTGTACGCGTGTGGCGCAGTGGTCGGAGGCGCCATGCAACACACGTGGAATTGATTGCGGCGCCCATGGCCAGCTAAGCCTTCCCTTCCTCCGGGGTCGGCAGATTGGTACCAGACTTGTCTAGGAGGATAGCAGCACTGGCTCGAGGCTCGATACATCGGCAGGCCACTGCGAGTCATTGTAAAGTCTAGATATGCATTCAGTCACCTCCAAACGATGCTTAGTGAAGTTCAATGCATGACGCATCCCTCAGGGATTGATCAAAGCGGAGAGGTTTATTTTTTGTCCTTTATCCTTTGTTTTCTGTTCAAGTTATTTAGTGTTGTTTTCGATGTTTGTTTATACAGTTGTCGCCTTATGTTCGTGTCTGATTAACTTAATTAATTCGGTGACATGATGTATGACTTACTTTCAGACAAAAGTACTTCTCTTTGACGACAATCTAAAGATGAGCAAGCCAAAAATTGGAATCAACGGTTTTGGACGTATTGGACGTTTGGTGTTGCGTGCCGCTGTTGAAAAGGACACCGTGTCGGTCGTTTCCGTGAACGATCCTTTCATCAACATTGACTACATGGTGAGATTCTTCCGTGTTGTTGTCGATATTGACAGAAATCCTAACCAAGTGATGCCTTATTGATTAAAGTGAGCTGTGTTGTCTGTTTGCTATGGAATTCGCGTTCGTTCCCATGCCTTTTTGGAAGTTTATAAATATGTGATTGAGAATCATCGTCACTAATCTTTTGTTTAATTTTAATTTGATTGAAAGACATGTAATCCCAAATCTGTGTGTCGTTTGTGTTTTCTGTTTTCCTGATTCATTGTTGTTTTACGTAGTGAATAAGTACGCCAACATAGGTAGATGTTTGAAGCTGATTTCAGGTGTACCTCTTCAATTACGATTCCACTCATGGTCGCTTTAAGGGAAGTGTTAGTCATCAGGGTGATTATCTGATTGTGAGCAAGGAAGGCAAAAGTACACACAAGATCAAGGTCCATAACAGGTAATAATAATGGAAATCAATTATCACTTTCATAGTATCTAGTACACACAAGACCACGGTCCATAACAGCGGTTAGTCCGGCCAATGGTAATGGAGGTCAGTTCTTGCTGTCTTAGTACCCAGTACAGCAGTTGTATTGATGGAAGTGGCTGCTTTTTGTTCGAAGGGCTCGTCAAGGTTTAAGGTTTACTACACTTTGGAATGGAGGGACGTGGAAGTGGGCATGATTCGAGATTTTTACTGCGACAGTATTGTTGGTTTTATGAAAGTAACTGCTCATTGTTTGCTCAAATTCCGTTGCAAGAGTCACCATCGGTTTATTCTAGTCGGTGAATTCAATTTGTGTATTAGAGAGCAGCGATTTGTAATTTCCGTGATAGGCGACGTCTTTCAACAGTCGGAAAAATGAAGTAGCGATTTAATTTAGTGAGGCGGTACTACTACCATGTAAAATTTAATAGTTCCCTTAAGGGACGTTAGGTTACGAATCGATTCTGAACAACGTGTATGGCATTAATAATGCAGCCAAAAGAAAAGAAGTTTGTAAATGTGGTAGTAATATGCATAAGGCTGGTCTTGCTTTTAATTTGTATTTTTTCATGGTCGAGGTAATCTTTGTTATTCTGTATCTCGAGTATTTACAATCGAAAAAAAATGCTCACGGGTTAAGGACATTTCGTTCACACTGTTCATCCAGTTAGCCTCCGAAAATCTCCACAATTTGAACAACACTGCCTGGATGTAAACCCTGCTGAAAGTTCGTCATCCGCATGAAACATTCTTTAAACACGGTGGTATAGTAAACGGTCGTACAGCGTTGTGAACCAAAAAGAAAGAACCATACGGACATATGATTACCAGGATTCGCGATTGAGAGCATGCTATAGGTAAGGATCAGTGGGGTTCATCATACGCTCGGTGGAGCTGCTTGTTGCCATCAACAGTAAGGGATTTTAGGAAATCAAATTTCACGTGGTGAAGTGCTGTTATGTTTTCAGCAAGGATCCAGCGGAGATACCATGGGGAGCTGATGGAGCTGAATTCATTGTTGAGTCAACTGGTGTGTTCACAACAATCGATAAAGCGTCAGCCCATCTAAAGGGTGGTGCAAAGAAGGTTGCTTTAAAACTTCATGTTCAGTCATTTTTATTTGTCGAATTCCTTATAATATTATGTAGGTGGTCATCTCGGCTCCATCTGCTGATGCACCAATGTTTGTTATGGGAGTGAACCATGAATCCTACAATGCTGCTAACAATCACATTATTAGGTTGGCTGGTGATAAACTCCACACTACGTGAAAAGGGAAAATTCACATATTTACAGCAACGCTTCGTGCACCACCAACTGCTTAGCTCCGCTAGCTAAGGTTATAAACGACAATTTTGGTATAGTGGAAGGTCTGATGACCACTGTTCACGCCACCACGGCCACCCAAAAGACCGTCGATGGACCGTCTGGAAAACTGTGGCGTGATGGTCGCGGTGCTTCGCAAAATATCATTCCAGCTGCAACTGGTGCTGCGAAGGCGGTTGGGAAAGTGGGTTTCAAAGAATAAAGAAGAAATATTTCTATTAAGTGATCTATCCGAGAAGCTCAGTTTTTTAGGTTATTCCTGCACTGAATGGCAAGCTCACTGGTATGGCGTTCCGTGTGCCGACACCAGATGTTTCGGTTGTTGATCTTACCTGCCGTCTTGAGAAACCAGCTACCATGGATGACATAAAGAAGGTGTGAGGAAAAGTTTTTTCCAGATTCATGTGTAAAATAGTTGTCTTATCTTGTACAGGTCATCAAGCAAGCTGCTGATGGACCAATGAAGGGCATCCTAGGCTACACTGAGGACCAAGTTGTCTCGACTGACTTCGTGTCGGACACTCGCTCTTCAATTTTCGACGCAGATGCGTGTATATCTCTCAATCCGAACTTCGTGAAGCTTATTTCATGGTTGGTGTTTGTAGGATTTCCTCATGAGTACTCTTAAACATTCTCATGACGAAATATCTGTTACAATATCCAAAGTTGTTGTTCTTTCGCTCCAGTTGATTGCTAACCTTCATATTTCAGGTACGACAACGAGTATGGGTACTCACATCGCGTCGTCGACCTACTAGCTTATATCGCCACTAAAGCCTAAGAAGAACTAGCAGCTGATGTGCTCTGCATTGATTAAACGTTGTGGTTTTCTAGTGTTTCATTTTTTCTTTAGTTGCGACCATCAGTCGTACTGTAGTTTGCAATCGTTAGTGCCACTTTTTGACCTCTGCAAATGCTCTAATCATGTCTTAGCTCACATCAAACACGGTTAAATGGGATGGAAACCGCTTCGTAACTCTAATCATGTTGGAATTCTAGGCTCATGGTTTCATTGGGCCTCCTAGAAGCGTCTACGGTAGTTGTTTTGCTAAGTATCTTCTCAGCAAGTGGTTTTTGAGGTTTTTCGGGAGTGGATAGCGTAATGGTGAAAGTTTACATTAGTGTTCTGGAAAGGGCAAGATGTTCTCTTTTAATTTCTCCGCAAAAAATTTGGGTCCATTCTGCCAGAACTGTTATCAACAGGCCTCCACTTTTTTAAATACTCTGAGAACTGCTCTCTGTGAATGCTCTTCAACAATCGTACTGTAACTGAACATCTCTAAACGAATTAGGTTGTTAGCAGCAGAGGTTCTTATGCTTTTTGTCTTGACTAATAACGTTTATAGTGGGCAAGAACGTGTGTGTTTTGAATTGAGGAATAAAAGTCGGCATCATTTTTTCTCTAATTTATCTTTGTAGTGTGGTAGGTGTTGTTTGTAGTTGTATTTTATTTAGAGTTTATTTATCGAAGTTGAAGTAAGTAACCTGAGATAGTTTGGTTAACGAAGTTCTTAGTGTTTTCGCATAGTGGATGTTATACATCTGGTCTTCTCCAGAATAATAACGACAGGAATATGTTATATTCTGCAGGCTGGCTCATTTGATCCGTCTAAGAAATTGGTTAGTATAAACCTTCCTGAATTCGATTAAATGTGGTAGAAATGCGGCTGTAAGTAATTGGATTGAGTATCGAGAGCAAAGGTCCCACTTCAAATGCAATGAGTGGCTAAGGAAAGCTTTCTTTCTAGTCAGGGTAGTAGTCTTTCGATCCTAGTTTGCTGGGGAACAAGTGTTGCTAACGCCGGTAGTGTACTTGGTTGGTTGATGCTGTCGCATTTGACTAGGCGAAAGTTGGAATTGGAAACATCGTAGACGAGCAGTAGCAAGCATTGGATTGAGACGACACTCTATTCAAATAGTGCATGGTGGGGTGAACTTTGTGGGGATTAGCACTAGTCACTCTGCTTTGTTGGAGTTACGACAAATTCGATTAGGGGATAAAACGTGGACTATGTGACTGAAGGTGTCGGGTGGCTGGTTTTGAGTCACAAGGTCATTATGTACGGATGTGCATAAGATTAATAACGGTTGTTAGTACTGGGTCTTAAAAATAACGTGATATATATATTGATGATATTTCAGTAGTCTCTGATTCTGCCGTAAATGCTTTCATACCAGTGTTGAGTCCAGCACTGAACGACTAATCGGCGATGGGTAGCATGTTCACCAGCATTTTTTGTCCCCACGTGTCCATCAAAGGCTGTCGTTGGTTTTATGGATCGCAGCAAAGTTTTCCTCGATATTTTCTTCCACTTTTCCTTGGACTAGTCTACCGACCTCTGAGTGATGGCAGTATGATTCACCTAGTGTGGGTCGAACATGGAACCAGAATCTCCTACCATGGAGCTATTGCTTACCTTACCTTCCTATCCCCATGGATATAAATAAGCCTTCATATGTAAATTCCGGAGATAGAACGTGACCAAGCCATTAAGCGTTAAAATGGTGTTTACTTTCAAAGAACATTCTGCATGGTTTGTAATACACCGGTGCTCAAGGAGTGGATAACGAATTTGAGTCACGGCGAAGAAATTAGCGAAGAACAGCATGCAAGACTTTTTTTTCCTGGAACGAAGACGTTTTTGTTTCTGTGCTTCATGTGTTTTCTTAGAGGTACCAAGTAGTTTTTCTTCGTAACTTTTAGTGAAACAGTCGTGGTCAGCTTTTCAGCGAAAATACTTAATTATTTGAATGGCCCATCCTCACTGATTGTGCGGGCCCCAGCATAATCACCATTTTTCCGAGATTTGCTAGTTAAACCATTGTGGTTCCCTGGAATCCCGCCGTCAGCCTGGGCAAAGTCTGCCCCAGGTTTTCACCACCACGGGCAGCCGCAGCCCTTGTAGATCAGAGGGAGATTTGCCACCATGCAACTTTGATACCAGAACAGTGGCGGATCCTGGAATTGGTTTACTTTTAGCTAGGCTTTCTGATGGAAACGCCGGACTCTTCAGGTTGGGAGACTCTGCCGGGGGATAAATTCCCTCGCTGTATATCGCAGTCCGACACCCAGGAACACCTCCCAACCACGATGAGGTGGTAAACCGTTGGGAGGTAAGGAAAAATATGCTCTGGGAAATGAGTTCTTGTTTTAGAAAAGCAAGCACAGGATTTGTTCTCAAACTTTCGTGTTCTCGATAAGCTTAATCTTTTCTTTGCACACCTGCTACATGATGTGATGTCACCGGTAACATTACGCTGAGCATGTGATCCGTCTAGCTGCGCAGGAACGGCTGGAACCAGAGAAGAAAGGAAAACTATGATAATCTTGATGGAAGACAATGACAACGATGGAACCCACTGTAAGTGTTGCTAAATTCACAACACTCGTCAAAAACGCCATTTACTAGAAGGAGGTGATCGTCATCTCTCACACTGACGCAGATCTGATGCTTCCAGGAAGTAGTGAGCTATGATGTGCAACATAAAGCTATCTTGCTGTCAGTGTCACCTAATGTTGAATAAAGTTCCAAATTTTCACCTGAAATCCATCTTATGGGCAAGCCTAATCCACGAATCGATAGTATCGGTGTGGACTTATTCTCAAGGCGACAAACCTCCTCCTTTCGATCGATAGAGAGCGATTGCTTGTGATTGCGTTTGAGAACGCCTTGGAAAGCTATCCCGCTATTGAAGGAAAAGAAGTCTTTGCCTAGTCAGCAAATTATTGTTCAAATGAGTGCTTTTCAGGTAACTAGTCTCGTCAGAATGCATAGTAAATTACCGGTGTATGGTCGAAAGTACGGCATAGAATCTCCTTCCATTCTATCCTCTCACCTTCTTCCATTTCATGTATTATATGGTCGATATTATAAACTGGAACCTAAGTCCAGTTTCTCACATTGCTCAACACTATTATATTTCTACCGAAATTTAAGGTGTTAATCCTGTGGTGAACCACCCGTAGTAGTTTGTAGTTTCATTAGGGTAGCCCTAGTAGATGCAATGGTTTCTTGTTAGTTTCACAGCAGTTTCACAACCAGCTATCACGCTAAGCTTATTTAAAAAACATGAAGTTGAACTGAAACATCAATTAAGTTAACCAACTGATGACTTTTATTACAATCTAGCCCTAATTCGAGAGGGAACGACTATTTTTTGATATCAGCAGTTCGTATGAAAAAGCTTGGTTTGCATCGAATTGCATTAAAGACGATATTTAAGGGAAAGAATAAATCTGTTATTGAAATTTTAATCACATTCAATGATCAAAACATTCTCTTGAACCCTAATGTTTTTTATATTTTTTTTTGGTTAGAAATCAGTTCATATAGAGATACGACGGAATCAAAATGGAGAACCAAGGTATTCAAGGAATTATGGAAAGCAAATAAAAGTGAATAAAAAGGGCTTTCGTGGCGCAGTGGTTGGAGGCGACACACATGTGGAAGCCATCTTCGCACCTATGGCCCACACCAAGCTTTCCATCTCTCCGGGGTCGGCAAATTAGTACCAGACTTGTCTGGGAGGTTAGCAGCACCGGCTCGATACATCGGTAGGCTACCACGAGTCATTGTAAAGGCCAGATATACAATAAGTCACCTCCAACGATACTTAATTAAGTCGAATGCATCGTGTCTCCCTCAGGGATTGGTCAACGCTGAGAACTTTATCCTTTTCTTTTATAGAAAGCAATGGTTTCGCCTGCAGGATCGTCACTGAGCAGTCGTACAAGTCCGTACTGTATCTTAGTCAGAAGAGGGGAAGAATTTTCAAATCTACAAACCTCGGTCGCTGCTTGCGACAAAAACCTAGAAATTCGCCGTCACCGGCAATTAACCTTTGTGGATGACTGTTGCGGAACAGCGAGCGAGTGGAATGAAATGAATGCTAAGGGTGCACAAATTCTAAGGAAGAGGTACCTTGGCAGACAAGTAACTAGAACAATGGAAACCTAGCTCTTGGGCCAATGTTTTAATCGAATAGGTCCTTCTCTGTTTCAGAGCACTATAAATTACGAAAGTTAGAATAAAATCTGAAGGCGTCGTGGATGGATAGACGATGGTGAGCGATGGTCAAGGCCAAAAAGAGAACATATACGGTAATCATAGACGGAGAAGAGGGTAATAAAAAATTCTGATAGCCGATAACTCCTCGATACGATGGGATTGATCTTATCAAAACTGATGATTAGTTTTCTATAGAAGTACAACACAACTGCGCAGATATCATACATTATATGATCCATAAGATGCTGTTTGATGTATCGACCAGTTCCCGCTTGTTTTTTTATATAAAAAACCCGAAGTATATGGAAATCATTCTGGATTGTAGGCAATCGTTTATAGTGTTGTTCGTAGTCTACGGCTTAAAATTTTCCCTACGAAATCTTCTTTTTGCAGCAAAATACATCAGAGCTTGGGAAAACGCATCGGTAGCATTGTTTTCACGTAGCGAAATCTCTATTCAATAACAAAAAAGAAAATGACGAGAAAGAAGGAAATCGCGAAGAAATGGGAAAGAAACAATACATTAGACGCTCGGCAAAATCTCGATTATTGAATGACGGCCGTGGTGAGGACGATTTCGTCACGTTTTTGACACTTAGTAGAGACGACTATTGAGTCTGAAAAGAGAATGTTCATATGCCTTTTCTTTTCCTACCATATTTTCAATAGTAGCAGGCTCGAGTTTTGTGTGACCTATACGGAACTACCTTTCAACGCTTTACCGCCTCATCATGGTTGGGAAGTGTTCTTGGGTGTCGGGCTGCGATGTACAGCGGAAGGATTCATCCGCTTGGCAGGATCTCCCAAGCTGAGAACGAGTCTGGTGTTTTCATCAAGAAGCCCAGCTAAGAGTGAACCAGTACCAGGATCCGTCACCGTCTTGGCACCAAACTGGTCGCGTGGTGGCAAATTTCGCACTGATCTAGAAGGGCGGCGACTGCCTGTGGTGGCGACGACATTGGGCAGACTTGGGCCTAGCTAACCTCTAGATTCCAGGGAACCACAGTGGCTAAACCAGCTAAATTCCATTCATAATATCTTAGAAGTGAATAAATGATATTTGCCCTATACAGTGGCAGTGGCTTGCGGAGGTCCATGGGTCTATTAAATCAGTGCTTGTTATGTTGCCTACGAGATAAGTCGGGTACAAATCTACTGGTTAGATGGGTGGAGAAGGAAGTTTTGTTAAGGATATGGAATAGAATAAGCAATGAAGATGTACAGTATAGCGCCCATAATCACTGGACTACATTCAGAATGCTTATAAAACATCCGAGGGCTCAATTTTATAAAAGTGTTCGACTTTCTAAATTAACAAGTAAATATTTATTGATGATTTACCTATTGTATGTGTTTGAGTAGGTGTAGTTTCCGTGCCTGAATGACGACGACAGATTCAGATCCTTTTCACGTCGAGATGCCCATGTCGCCGGAGATAGCCAATACTGAAGGCGAGGACCAGATTAAAGTGGCTGTGATGAATCGATAAACAAAAAGCGTCGAAGGAATATTACAACATAGGTGAAACTTTAAAAAACATTCAGCCTCTAACAGGGAGTACAGCACATCTTTGAGGCATACTTAATTTGATCGCTGCATACAATCCCATCAATCAACACCCACTAATGAACAGAGTGGTGACCTGATCTGAGACCGATAAATTTTCGAGGTTGCCTATGTTGCGCCTCATAACCTTGCTCAGCGGAAGATCTTTTTCTGCAGCCGAGGGGACGAAGGAGATTGAACTTTTCGTATTAAACCTTTCTTTTGTCTTTGACGAGAATTTTGATACGTATTAGGTCGACAGAAAGATAGTTGTCGTTTATAGATGAAAACTCCAGCTCCAACGTAACTTTGTTAATCCAAATAAGCGCAGTAGTGCTAAATTTTACATATTTTATGCGGATTCTACACATCTTTGCCAATAAGTTTGTTGACTGCGGTCACACTAGATTCCAAAGTTTTGGAAAAGGCGAGTACTTTTAAAGCCTTTCTTGATGCAGTTGAGGCGTTGAAGAGTTTTTAAGTTGATTAGTTGTTGGGATACTGGAAACAGTAATAGATAGTCGGCTGGAGATGCGGAAGGTGAGGCGGTTGAAAAGGGTTTGCTAACCCAATCCATTCATTTTTTCTATTGTTAGTTGCAAAACTTGTAGATAAGCGTTGTCGCGCAAGAGGTTTGGACCCATAACAATATCTGAATACACAAGTTGTAGCTCCTCGGAGATTTTATTATTTTCGTGGTAGAAATCTTTTGATTTGATCATTTCTCTAAGATTTGAGACGTTTTGCTAAACGATTTCATCTTGTAAGGATGAAAAGTCGTTATGGCCAGATTTTGATATGCTAATTCAGCTTTGGAATGGGAAATTAGTGAACAAACCAAAGAATATAAAAAAAAGTTCAGTTCATGAGTTACCGAGTTTTCTTACTTTTCACTGTACTTCACATGACGTTAGTTGTTCTATAACTCCTTAAGTAATTTTGGAGAACCAACTTTGATTATGGCGTTCAAAGCGCCACTGTGAATTGTTGATGCGTTCACTGGACCTTCTGCATCATAGAGACTGATATCTTCCTTTTTTTCTTTCATAACGATAGAAGCAACCAATATTTTTCTTCATTAACCTTTTAGCATGGTGGTCTATACGGCGAGGTGAACTAGAGAAAACCATGAAATGTGGTATGATCCCCTATTTTATCATTGGATATTAGTTATACGTTCCAATTCATCAAGCTAAAATGATATTCCACAATCCATGTCTGATATCACGTTTTATACTGACACTATGAGGAGTCGGAAGTTTTGAATAAATTCTCATATCTAGCCAGTTTTTTTATTTACTTCCTATTCTTTTTTTTTCATGGCAGGGTATGATGTGAAATATAACCACAGTGATGCTAAGATATTTGCAAAACCCTGGACTGCAAGTATTTGCGGTGGTGATCGGACACGCTACCACCCTTTCCGAGAGCTAACATTTTCACCACCACACCATGCGGGTCCTTCGTTTCGCCTTTCTATCAACCCTTAAGTTCCTTAGGTGTTAGAATTTTGACGTAAGTTCGGTAAATTACAACCTTTTAAATGCAGATGATAGGATATTTTTCAAGCTCAATCTGAGAGTTTTTACACGAAGTCCTCATGTAATCGAAGATACTTTTTGTCGTATTCTGGAGAAGAAGGAAAGGCATTGAAAAAAATGAATGTGGACGGAAACAAGGAATAAACCAGGCAGGAATCGAACAGAGATCTTTTTGGGATTGTTTACTAGGATTAAACTGCATTCGTATTAAAATTTTAAATGAAAACTGAAAAAGGAAAGGCTAGGTATGAAATAAAGAGAAGAATTAGTTTTATTTATCTAAAAGATCCAAGAATTCATCTTATGCTGATCCTACCACTGCATTCGTTCGACTAGCTTTCTTGCATTCATAATTCACGAAGGTTTTCGGATCTGTGTTTGGATTCAAGTGCCACTTGAGGGTTTCGTCTACTTCATGAGGGTCATTGAATCATGGTCGAGTTGATTCTCACTGGAATCCTAGGATAACCGAGAAAGAATGGTGCTAGGCGTTCAGCACCGCCATTCCTCAACCTCTGTAGGTGTGAGGGAGCTTTTCCTGGAGAATTCTGATATCCATTCCCGGTCAGAAAGGAATGAAGGGCTCAGTTAGGCCACTAAGCAGTCGAAACAGCTACTATGCATGATTTGCATGCCACCTCTAAAGGCGTTTCTCGCGCTTCCAAAAGTTTTTTAGAGAAAAAATTAGTGGTCGCTACAAAAAAGAAAAAAATCAACAGTAAGAGGAGTACTGCTGTAACCTTACCTTAGATAATGTGCCAACTGTCATGCATCTTTTCTTATACATATCGACAGCATCATCAACGGGCATATATCTGAAAGAATTCGTTGTGTCATATTAACTTCTACTTTGATGTAGTCTTTTTTGAATAAAAACCTTCCTTGTAAAACTTCGGATTAAACATATTCTGCGAAGAAATCGTTTGGAAATGAAAATCGTCATGAAAATTATATTTTACATAAGGATTATTATGAGATACGTGTGGCGCAGTGGTCGGAGGGGCCCAGCAACACACATGTGGAATTCATCCCTGCGCCTATGGCCCACCAAACCATCCATCCTTCCGGGGTCAGCAAACTGGTACCAGATGTATCTGCGAGGAGAGCAGCACTGACTCAATACATTGGTAGGCCATCGCGAGTCATTGTGAAGGACAGATACGCATTCAGTCACCTCCAACAATGCTTAATGAAGTCGAATGCATGGCGCATCCCTCAGGGATTGATCAACGCCGAGACCATAGTCAATGTAGTTTTTTGGATTATTACAATTTGAAACGAGATCACTATTTTCCTTGCAGAAAAATTCCTCTTTTAGCTATTTTTTTTTTATCGAAAAAGAGAAAAGGTTGAAAACCATCTATTGTAATTATATTTCAAAGAAGTTTATAATGATTTTTTGAGGTGAGAAAGAAAGAAAAAACAGAGAAAAGAAAAAGAAAGCGAAGAAACAAACCGGAAAGATCTGAATTTCTGAACAAAACATGGGAGGAAAAGGGGTCCAAAGTTTTTGAAGAAAATAAAGGGAAAACTTTTTATGAAATAAGTTAATTTAAGAAATAACCGAATGTAATTTCTTTGTGGAAGTAATATACGATCAACTTGAGTTCTATAGTTGGGCCGGTTGAATTGTGACGGATTGTAGGAAGTCAGTTTTCCTTCCAACCATCTCTTCGTTCCGATGTCTTGAATGCCAGAATTTCGTGAGTAGACCTCAAAAAAAATGTTACCTATAGTGTTTTTTATAGGTATAAAAAATAAATAGAATTAAAGTTGGAGGTTTGCCGATTCATGAACAAAATAAACAAATAAGCAAATAATACATGAAAAAAAGTGCAAAAGATGGTAAATAAGTGGTTGTACTTGATACTTGACACTTAAATGGCCCGTCCTCACTCGTTGTGCGGGCACTAGCATAATTTTCACCTTTCGGAGATTTGCTGGCTAAGCCATTGTGGCTCCCTGGAATCCCGAGGTCAGCCTGGCCAGAGTCTGCACCAAGGTCTTCACCACCGGCAGTCGCAGCCTTTGTGGATCAGAAGGAGATTTGCCACCATGCGACTAGTTTGGTACCAGGGCGGTGACGGATTCTGGTATTTGGTTTGCTCTTAACTAGGCTTCCTGATGGAAATGCCTGGCTTCTTCTCAGCTTGGGAAACCCTGCCGGCGACGAATCCCACACTGTACAACGCAGCCGGACACCCAGGATCACCTTCTAGCCACGATGACGCGGTAAGCCGTTGGGAGGAATAAGTGGTTGAAGAACGAAAAATAAATAAATAAATGCGATTGTTTTGTAAATAAATAAACGCCGATTTATCAATGTATCTTTTAGTTCTTCTCGGGTATGGATTACGTAATGTTGCCAGGTGATTTTTATGCACGCACTTTGCTATCTTACTCTTTTTTTTTGCTCTGTCATTAATTTTTCCCAGTTACCAGAATGGAACGAAATCGATATCGTATTTGGAATTTCAGTCAGTGTAGACGATTTTTGTTTATTTCCCTGGGTTTATTCAAATTAGCTTAATAAGTGACTTTTACAATAGTAACATAACAAATACTGAAATAAGAAAATTAATGCATTTAAAATAAATCGCTGATTATGACGATCACGAGAGAAGGTTAGTAGAATTTTTAGTTAGTAGAGGGTTACTAAATGAAGGACGCTGAATCAGATTATCCTGTAACAGACGCGAGCAGTTGGCGTGGCCTTTCGAATGGAATACGAACAAGTTTTCGTCGGCTACGGGTTTCCGGTTTTTTTTCACAACAGAAAATCACTTTTTTAGAACGAGAGTGCATTGGAGTTGTGGGGAATTGTGGAAGAGACTTTATCGTTCTGTGGGTGTGCACGAAGTGCATGATACTACTTACTGATTTACTGTAGTATTGCTACTCACAAAACTTAGTAGTAGTTGTAGTACTTACAAAACTGTTTACTGTGTTTCGGCTTTGATGAAGACTGTACCGTCGAAACGTTAGCCGGAAATAAAGAACGTTATTAGCCTCGTAAGCTTATATTTACTGTGTATTACTATGATCCACTACTAAATACATTGCTGTTTGCACCTCAAAGTACGTTGCAGCTTATGCCTATCTCAGTATGTTTTATACCTGCATTATGACCATAGTGATTAAAATAGAATGACAATCAACTGTTAGTCACAATACCGGTCAATGAACTTCATAGAGAAGAGGTTTCCTGTAAATCATTAGGTGTAGAGAATGGTTTTTCTGATTTCACCCCTACCATTTTGGATCGCTATCGAATGAATATACATATTGCGGTAAAAAAAAGTCCTACAATCCTTGAAATGAAAATGGACACCATGTTTCCACTCCGCCCGCTATGGGTTAACATTCTCGCGACTAGTGACACCTATAAGTGTTATGGCAGCTTTGCGGTAGCGGCCGCTAATACGGCTATACAGGTCACATTTACTTTCCGGCGATATTTAGAGCACATAGAAATTCTCCTATCCTTTTTATTAATAGTTGATTGCTTACAGAGCACAGATATTATATTGGAGGTTCATCGAAAAGAAGTTATATTCTGTATTTCGAAATATACAAAAAACCGCTTCCCGAATGTGAATGGTAGTCAACGTGTAGAGTGTGGAAGTATAACCAATACTGAAATATGAAAATTAGTCACCGGTGTATGTGGAGACAATTACTGTAACAATTACTGAAACAGAGACCAATAAGTTGTAAAACACTTCCAACTGGCAGTAATGCTTATATTATGGACCATAGTAACATATAGCAAACAAGACAAATGTCATTCACCTATAGAACGACAGAGGGTGGTTAGCACAGTGGTATTGATGTCTGCATTTTCACGAGCATGGTGCTAGTTCGATTCCGTCTCCGTCCAACCAAGCCTCTCATCTTTCCGGGGTCGGGAAATTGGTACCGGGCATCACCTGCACCACCCGTACTCCCGTTGATCGCCGAGTGACTCGAGCGCGCGCCCCAATAATTCTTCTATTTTTCCCTGTCGCCTGCAAAAGTAGCCCAGTGAGTTCTGCTCGCTCTAATGACTCGTTGAGCCTCATATCTCTCTTCTAGGTTTTTCGTGAAGAGCTCTGACAGTCAGGTCGGTAGTCTTCCTGCTGTGCGTTTAACAGCCCGAGGAATCCAGTCACTAACGGCTCTTGTGCAACGGTTGTCGTTCATACGCATTACGTGACCAGCCCATCTTATTTTCCACAGTTTGGCGTACAGAACGACATCTTTGATTTTTGATCGTTGAGAAATTTGAAAGAGAAAACACATAGCTCTCGATTGTTATTACTACTACTGTTATCTCTATTACTACCATCATTATTATTGTTATTACTATTATCATAGGAGCGTGTGTAGCGCACTGGTCCGAAGCACTGTGCAATACACATGAGATCGTTCCTCGCTTTCCAAGCTCACCAAGGCCTCCATTCCTCCGGGGTCAGCAAACTGGTACCAGATGTATCTGCGAGGAGAGCAGTAGTGACTCGATACATTGGTAGGCCATCGCGAGTCATTGTAAAGACTAGATACGCACCTCTAACGATGCTTAATGAAGTCGAATGCATGGCGCATCCTCAGCAATTGATCAATGCCGAGAGCTTTATCCTCCATCCTTTTACTATCATCATTATTGCTAATATTATCGCTGATATTATTAACAATGGCATTAATATCGCAATGTTTAGCTTTTATCTACTGCTTGTTATTCTTTTTTTCACGGCAGTGTATTATTTGAAATACAACCGCTATGACGCTGAGAAATGTGAAAAACGTGGATTCCAGTCCAGATTCGAATCCGCAATTAACCTTGCTCTAGGGCCAACGCGTTCACCACCACACCATGGGAGTCTGTCGTTTCGCCTTTCTCTCACCCATGCTGACCTATATGTGCTACATGCAATCACCCGTCAACTGGATTGATCTGGGAAGCACAAATCGGCATGGACCCAGTTAAGCCGAATAATTTTCAATGACAGGGTATTATGTGAAAAAGCGCGCGTGGCGCAGTTGTCGGAGGCGCCCTGCAACACGCACGTGTAATGGTCCAAGCGCCCATGTCCCACCAAGCCTTCCATCCCTCCGGGGTCGGAAAATTTGTACCAGACTTGTGTGGGAGGATAGGAGCACTGGCTCGATATGTCGCTAGGCCATCGCGAGTCATTGTAAAGGCCAGATATGCATTCAGTCACCTCCAAACGATACGTAACGAAGTCGAATGTGTGGCACATCCCTCAGGGATTGATCAACTCCAAGGGCTTTATCCTTTAAGCTTTTTATTCAAGAAATTGCACGAGGTTGCTACCAATATTACTCTTTGTGGCTTGCTTACATTTTGGCATCTGGTCTTTCTACAGAGCCGAAATAGGACGAATGGGATGTACACAGCAGTTGTCTCTTGCGGTGTCTTTTTGAATTAAAACAAAATGAACTAGAAAATAAAATCAATTAAACTTACTTAGCTGTGCTCGTACTTTTAGGACTGCTCTTAACTGATTGTCAATTGATTACAATTTGTTTTTCTACAGACAAGCCCGCCAGCAATGTTCGCTCTTGCACATACGAAAGGAATCCTACAGCACTGTTTCACACGCATCAAAAGAACCCCGTGGAAATCATTAGTGTTTGTACCAAAAGGATTTTGGTGGGTTTATTTCACAAGATTCTGATTTCGACGTCATTGCACTTCGTTACCCACACGCCTTCTTACTTCACTCATAGTTTGTATGCATTCAGAATCATTGCACACTCGTACTTAGATGGTAAACACTTTTGATGAGTTGATCACCTAGTATGGTAACTGTCAAACAAGGCGGTGATCTCTAAGATATCTTCCATGATTCGCGGAACTTCACACGTCAAATATCCATTAGAAGCTTTCTTGTTATACGAACAGAATCACCCACAGAAGAGTATTTTTGTAATTTACAATGTGTAGAGAAACATTCTCCTAAAGGATTACCTTCTCATTATGGCAGAGAGATATTCGTGAGTGTGAAATTGCAGTTAATAGCAGGGAATTAATCCCGCAATAGGGTGCTCCAGCGTGAAAAGGTGTTCTTTATTTCAATTCGGAAATCCACCTTGGCGTGAACAAATGCTACGACTCACTGCTATATTGATAACAACATAGTGACTAGATGGCAAGCGGAGAAGACTTGAAAATGCCCTAGGATAGCTGTATGGACTTAAGAAAAAATAAGCCAAGCAAACTATGTGTCCAATTGTTGTTGTGCCGAGACCCTCACAATTCTTCGTGATTCTTCAAGACCTATCTTTCAAGAATTCAAATATACAAAAAGAACATATTCAACTGTCCTCTATTCAAACGCGGAAAGTCGCCATATGTCTAGAAACTACAGAGTGTTCTCGATTTCTATCGCTTTTGCTAAGTTTTCACGCTTTGTTTTGAGATGATTGGTCAGCAGCATCGTACCATCTGGTAGCACTTCTAATACATGTGTGAATGGTCTCGTTGTGAACGCATTTTCTTTTATTGTTGAAAAACGCCTCACCTGCTGCTCTACGAGCAATCCACTATCTGCTTGACATCTCTAACCACTGCGGTCCACAAACTAAGATCGAACTTTAGATCCTCTGTTGCTGAACACTGTATGAAAAATGGGTTTCAGTTTTTGTAGCAAAGGAGCGGGTAACGCAGTGGTAATGATCCCGTATACTATGTGGACGGCTCAACCTACCGGGACGCTGATTCGAACCCCACTGGACAGGCCAACCTCCTTAACCGGATTCGTGAAATTAGTACCCGGCTAGTCAGAGACATGCTGAATCTCTCCAATCCACACGAAGATGCCCCTGCATGGCTATCTCAGAATTCCAGATAGGATTGACTCCACCAACATTGAACAACATTGGTGACGAAGACGAGAAAATCGTCAAGCAGTAACCGAAGCGACACGTGAACATGTTCGAAGACTTCGTGGACGACGGATCTGAGGAAACGAATCGAATGCAAAAAGCGCTGGGATTCGCACCTTGTGATATATTTGATGGTGGGTCACGTAGTAATAAGATAAGATTTTTTTTAGCTACTAAAAATCAATGTGTATGAGTCAGCAAATAAATGAGTAAGAACTGTAACATCGAAAAAATCAATATATCGAGTAGTGTGACCGGAAACGTTTACTTGAAAATTAAATCGCTTCCATTCATGTGGCATTGATAAACAGAGAATTCTTAGTGCTCCTATCAACATAAGAATAGAATAAATTTATAGTAATAGCGCTTCTTCTGGTGAAAATTCCACGACACTGTTCATAATTTCACTTATTTACTTTTTCTACATGTATACCTACTATTTTGATGAGTTCAAAGTGATTAGGTCTGCTGCAAACAAAAATAGAGCAAGAAAGAAGAAAGCTTTCGAGGTTCTATGCAGACTGCACAACTGCGGGGGCACCTGCATTGGCTCTGTCTTTAAAGTTTTTAATTACATTCGTTTCACTGGATTACTACTAGTTATTGCGCAGTAGTTACATGCGACCTGTAATATACAGTTAGAGGTGCCCTGTAATATATATGTACAAGGTGCTGATATATGATAAAAACTCGAAACACCATTTGGGTTTTGAACCCACGATTACCCTTACCGAGAACCCACAAGCTATCCACCACACTACGTTTTGCCTTTCTCTCAACCATGTTTTTACTCTAACGGTGCTATGGTGAATAGCACGTGAGGCGCCGGTAGGGTAACCGCGAGTGCGAAGCCTAACGGAGGCTTTCAAGTTTTACTCAGATCTCAGCTTCCTTGTGGTTGCTTTTCACATAGTACCCTACTATGGAAAAGAATGGGTAGTAAGTAGAAGTTACGACATTGTCTATATAAAGTTTTTTCCAGGTCTTTAAAGCATTACTGGACCTTCTTTCTCTCAAAACTAAAATATTTTGATAACAAAAGGAATCGAAACAGCACTTTAATTCATGTCTAGGAACGTTGATGCACTTGGGAGCTTAGTTATTGTATGACTTCAAATAGCATTGCATATATGCTCGAAAAATTCTTTCGAAATACAAAAGTACCAACTGATTCCGACTGCGTAGCGATTCCAAGGGCCGTGTCCGTGTTTCCATAACTGTAGCGCACATAAGGATATCTGAAAAGCAAAATTGGCATTATTGAAGGAGTGAGACGACTATGTTGCAATGTATGACAGAACAAGAAATAGAAGAAAACGAGCAGAAAGAGAGGGGAAAAATGGTATGAATCCTGCAAATGGAAAGCAATGACTAAGATCATTATGCAAATATAAATTACAGGGAGAAAGACAGGAGGAGAATGAGAGAAGGAAAGGAGAAGGAGAAGAGAAGGAAGAGGAAAACAAGAGTGGGACGAAAAAGAGACACAGATGACCTGTCCGTAAAATGCGGTGTGCTGCGTTGTACTCCGACATTATGAAACGGAGGTGTTTTTGTGAGCGCTGTTGCTGCCAAGGAACGCCCGAACAACGACGATCCTTAAAAAAAGACTACAGTGTTTCCCATGACCGACTTTCTGTTAACCTCGGCATTAATTGATAATTCAATGTTTTTCATCAATAAGCAGACACGAGGTTGTTAATATAGAATTTATTAGAACACAATTGCTGACGTTTCGGCGGTTTCGCCTTCTTCAGAGCCTGGAAAGGTCAAATTGAGATGCGATCTACAACAATTGTGTTCTAATAAATTCTATATTAACAACCTCGTGTCTGCTTATTGATGAAAAACATTGAACTACAGTGTTTGTTGTTCAACTATTACAATTTGTTTCAATAACGTTTGATGCCAATAACATGCAATGAAGTCGGATCTGACATAGCAGTATCAATGAAAAATGGATCGACGAAATGAGGAGGTAGTCGAAAAGAATGTTATTTTCTCCAAGATTATTGAGTGTGCGCGTGTAGCGCAACGGGTGGAAGTATTCTGGAATACACACGGCGTTGTCGATTCTATCCCGCCCCTACGCGTTCTGAACTCACTCCTCGTAGGTTGGCAAATTGCTAGCAAATTTATCTGGAAGCATGGAAACATTTGATGATAGGGCCAGTGTGAAAATAGGTGTAGAGGCCAAATATGCATTCCGTGAGCGATGCATCATAAATACGACCCCGTCAATGTAGATGCTTTATGATTCTTAGCACTATAATGCTTTCAATGTTTAGATTATATATATATATATATATATATATATGCTGGTCTTTGCATTGGGCGTAGGCGTGCCGACCCGCAGCTGCTTTCTACGAAATGACCAGGACCTTCGGGTGATTTTTCAGTGTGCGAGTGTATCAGGCCAATGAAAACTCGTACGTATCATCGCCATGCAGTGTGTAATACGAAAGATCACGGGCTGATCGTCAACATCGTCGATAAGTGGAACAACGGAAATCGATAACCGATTAACAAATGACTTAGTTAAGAATCTTGGTTATGTTTCTAATTTGACTGTTATCAAAAGTTCTGCGGTGGCTTTTTTCATGTGTGTAGGTTGTTGTTCCAACAATGGTGTGTATAAACTTCTTTTTTGGTTGAAAAATTTGAGAGCTATTCACAGTGTTAAGGCTAGGAAAACTCTATCCCAGATTTACATAATTTTTCGGTTATAACGATTAATAAAAATGAATAACAAACCACTGTGGCGGTTGGCAATGGGCGGGTCTGGCCCAGGTGTCGAAGGTGACCTACAAAACACACGCCCATGGCCACCAAACCTTCCATCCCTTCGAGGTTGGTAAATTGGTACCAGATTTGTCTGGAAGGATAGCAGCACTGGCTCGATACATCGGTAACCCACCGCGAGTCATTGCAATGGCCAGATACGCATTCAATCACCTCCAAACGATGCATAGTGAAGTAGAATGAATGCATGGCGCATCCCTCAAAAATTGATCAACTCCGAAAGCTTTATCTTTTATCCTTTTTATGGCAATTATTGACATGATTTATTTCTTCGAAATAAATCCTTAACCTAGAATCTACTCACAGTACATGATCCGTTCGAAGAATAAAACAGAGGAAAAAAGTTATGCTAAAATAAAGTCTTAAATTTGTATTTTGCTTCCAAAAAATCAATAGTTTTGAATTCAGTCATGTAACGTCGATTGATCGTCCAAAATCCAGCATTTGAGCCAACAATTTGAGCAGCAGATTTGCTCTTTCATAATTTCAAGTAGTTTAAAGCAGTGTTATTTCCACCTTTTCGTATACTGATCGGAAGATTGTTCTCTTAGGTACTTTGAAAGGAGCACTTTAAGGTTATCAGGTCTTCTGATGATGATGGTACTATGGAAGCACATTAGCCTATTCGAATCAGAATCAAAAACCTAATAAAAGAATAAATAAAGGATAATGCAATTGCCGTTGGTCAGTAGCTTAGAGATTCGCCATTCATTTGAATCCATTCATAGCATGGTTGAGGTGGTTGCATGCATATTTGGCCTCTGTTATGTCTTTATGAAGGCTAGTGATGGAACGACTAGGAGTTGCTTTCTTTGACGAAACTGGAACCAATTTATCGACCCGGGCTGAGTAGAGCTTGGTTAGGTCGTAGACGCGTTGAGATCAACAACTAAAAATTCAACGAAACGTCTAGGAATCGCCTAGGTCTGGCCCATGGAACGCGTATGTTCAATAATTTTTGACCACATCATAGATTCATACCACATCTACTTAGACTTCTTGCCATATAGCCGCCACCATAACCATATGATGGTCGGGTGAATCGCGTCGTCGATGGACTGTACGCCAATGGCGAGGCATAGCCGGAAAACGAATTTGATCTGAAACGAAACAAACATTCATTTAATTCGTTGGCATATATATTGAGCCTAAGATAGATCTCCATTGCAATGCGCTACATAGAAGGATTTCTTGTTTGTTGTTCTACTTTATTCCTATTTGCGTTAAACTCCTAAGCTAAGTAAGGACGTACTGGTTATGTTATATAAGGACTAGTTAGGTAGAAAAGAACTAATTATTAAAGAACGCTGCAGATAAAATAGCTTTGGAATCGTTTGCAGTGATGAAGAGGATCACCTGCAACCAATAAAAGTTACTGGACTAAAAAATCGATAAAAGCTAAGGGAATACTGCAAGACCTATGGGATTCCTCACACGATTATTTATAGCTACAGAAAAAGTTTTTTTTGGCTCGTTTGTTCTTGAATTATTCTTAATGAATGGTTATCTCGATGTACTAATAAGTCTGGTAGACGGACGTTGAACTCGATTTCGTGCAAGATGCTACAAAAAATGAAAGGAAAACCATTCGCCGTGACAAAATCAGTTAAGGTTGCCAGCTTACTTGTTTCTGTACTTCAGGCGATCAATAAAACTATTCGAAAAATGTAGTAATTGAGAAAGTATGACAGGTAAGTTCAACCTTCTCATTACTGATGATGTTCGGACATCACTACGTGATCGTGTCAGAGGTGATATATGATGATAACTGGGCGAACTGAGCAACTCCATATTCGATCGCTCTGAATTCTAAAGCTTATTATCAAATATAACAAGTGTAATAGGTGTAGTGCAGCGGCGCAAGTGTAATGGTTAAAGATGTCAAGCAGTGCAAGCATAGTGTGTAGCTCAACCCTGCACTAGCCCGGCCAGCGCTGAATGACATTCATAAAGAATACGAAATCCTCAACTAGTAGTAGAATATACAGGCAAAGCCGGAAATCTGTCGTGGATTACATATGCAAGACAACGAAACGAATGAAAACTAGGCTAAGCTTAGCGCCACATGTGAAAACAGGTCATATAAATCAAAAATAGATAAATAATAGTGTAATAGAGAGCTATTCAGGGGATAGGTTAATGTCGGAAAAGACTCGAAGAACTCCGCCGGCTTTTTACTGTGTGCCATTGCTTCTACTGCTGTTGGCGCCGGTTGAACCGCCCCCTCTTAAAGCTCAATCGTCATTCTTCGGATTATTGACGTCTGCTTGGTGCAACTAAACGCCAACCAATCCTACCAACCGGATTTCACTGAGGAAAACAACGAACACTTGAAATCAATGGAATCGATTCGTTCATAAGCTGCAGATGCTTTTTTCACTGAGAACTGATTGAGGAATTAACAGTTTCTTATAATGCAGAAGCAGTTGAGAGTTGTCAAAGAGGGAGCAGCGGGATTATTTGTTGAGGAAAATAAACGAACGATTTGGATCAATAGCTCGTATTCAAGAGCAGCAAATGCTTCTTTTTTTGTGGAAAAGATTGGTATTACTCGAGAAAAACAACAGTAGTGAAAAAATTCTTAGTGTAGAATAAGATTTTTTAGCTACTTAAAAAGACCACCAACCAGGTCCGAATTCTGAAATTTCAGAGCGAAAGATGAAGGCCTTAACTTAAATGCCCTCTGCAAAATTTGTCTCCATTTTTACTACGCACTGAAAATTACATCTTAATCTTATCCATCGATTTATTGATCCTTTCACCTGTTTGTGATTTCCAAGCAAAAGGGATTTCGTCGTCTTTCACTAAAAAAAAGTGCAATGGAGCCCAGCAGTACAACGATGAGCCGTGAAATTTGACTACGAGTGCTCGTGATGCTCCCGCCCTCCTTCCTCTTCGTCCGCGTGGAATTTTACAACTTGCGGAGCTCATAGAAAATGGCTGATCACATCAAGAACGAAGAAAAAAGAACACTACGCCAAAGTAATAGGGCAGTAGTTGTAAGCTAATGAATGCATAGAGATCGTGATCGGTTTTTTTTGCTTTTAAGCGAATTTTTTAAATTTAGCTTATTCAATATTAACGAGCCTGTTTTGTGGAGTCATCGATTTTTAATGTGCTTTTACGAAAGGAACTTGTTTTCTCAATGATCTCATGGTGAGTGGAAGATTAGTATTTATGGTGTTTAAACTACGATTTATAGGAAACGAGGAGAACTCGTAACGTCAGTAATGTCTCTCCAGGTCGAAAGAAGTTGTGCATTTACATCCGGAGCCCCCAAAAAATATGGGACCACATTTAACGACAGACAGTTCTCCTAAACAAAATGTATAACGTTAAATGTCACATCCGATGTTCTAACAAATAGTAAACCAGTGTTAGGAACCAGATCATGATAGCAACCTGCTCACGACGGGCAAGTATTCTTTCAAACATTAATGTCTGCCTTCTCAAATAATGACTAAAAGAATTCAATAAAAGCTGTAATGGTTCGCCGCCTCACCGAAACTGTGGTCTGTTCCCGAGTGAAAAAGCGTTCTTAGTAACGGAGGCATCAAAACCGTATTTACAAAGCTGCGAAAGTTGTTGTCCTCTACCTCTAGAAGCCTAGCTAAAAGTAAACCAGCCCAAAAAAACGTTTTCGTCCAGGCAACGAGATAGTATCTCACTGGAAATTAGCAGCGACCTGTGAATGCTCAGGCAATGTTCACATCTCGAAGCTTGTGGGTCGAATGTCTCCTCTGAATGGCAAATTAGCACAACTAACGTGGAAAAAGAATGTATCCTAGTAGTTAAGTTTGGCCCGGTATTTGGTGGACAATGTCAAGGTCCAACACCACTTTGAGATGATGTTCGGAATGAAAATTAGATTGCACAAAAATATTAGCGAATTAAAAAGAAGATGGACTGCCGACGAAAGTATTTCATGACAACGTGAGGCTAACATTTCTCTGAAGTGGATTAATTAGTACGGTAATCCTTTAAAATTGACTTCTCTTAATTACTCCACCATGATATACAAGCAAAAAGCTAAAAAAACTCAAAAAATTGAAAAATATTTTGCAGAATTCTATAGAAAGAGAATAGAACTCTCGGCGTTGGTCAATCCCTGCGGGATATGCAATGTATTCGACTTCATTAAGCATCGTTTGGAGGTGATTGAATGAATACGTGGCCTTTATAATGACTTGTAGTGACTACCAATGTATCGAACCAGTGCTGCTATCCTCAGAAACAAGTCTGCTACCAATTCGCCGACCACGGAAGGATGGAAAGCTTGATGTGCCATGGGCGTAGGATCGATCCCACATGTGTGTTGCAAGGCGCTTCCGACCACTGCGCCACACGTGCCCCTACAGAATTCTATACCAGGGTTGAATACTTAGTAACTTACTAGTTAATAATGATTGTTTCCAGTTGAAGTAAGCATAGTCACTTTATAGTTTCTTTCAGTCCAAATCTGTTAGAAGCTTCCTGGAGTCCGACCAGAACGGGGTCGAACCTTTGCCGTGCTTGTGATAACAAGCTCCACCCACTACCACTGCACTACTCGTTCACGCTATCCGAATTTTGACTAGGACCAATGATCAAATTGGTTTGGCTCTTAAATTACTGACTAACAAAAACTATATTAAACATGCAATTTATCGAGCTGGTTTTTCGCATGCTGATAATAATTGCTCTATAAATAGGCTTCATTGGTAGTTCAGGAGTGTGTAGAATCATAGAAATGATTCCTCTATGGCTTATTCGCATACATTATTATATTATAGACGATTATAGACGCATATTACTCACCATTGCTAAAATACTACTACTGTCGCTCTTATTGCCAGTACTATTTTTCACTTTTTCATTTTACTTTTATTGGTTAATAACCCAGAAACTTACAATCATTATCATTTAGTACGTCATACTTTCAGTTCGGGGATGTCTTACGATTCTTAAATATCTGAAGAATTTTGAGCCTTTAAAATTTCTGGTGTAGGAGCTGCGACAGCGAATATCAGCGATACATTGAGGAACACTACTGCGCCTTCCTTGGTAAAATTCTGCGTTATCAACGGATTTCGAGTTCGAAATGTCAGCACTGGAGCAATAAAGTGGGAACCAGAGCCATATCCAGATAATCGGAATTTTATCTTCGTAAGACAAGCGAGATCTTACCATATAGGCAAAGATTTTTGGACTTCGATGGTTTTATTTCAGTCTATGAAATCCAATATCGGCGTGTGTGGCGCAGTGGTCGAAAACGCCCTGCAACACATACGTGGAATCGATCTCTGCGCCTATGGCCAACCAAGCTTTCCATCTCTCCGGGTTCGGCAAATTGGTACCAGGCTTGTGTGGGAGGATAGGAGCACTGGTTCGATATGTCGCTAGGCCATCGCGAGTCATTGTAAAGGCCAGTTATGTATTCAGTCACCTCCAAACGATACGTAATGAAGTCGAATGTGTGGCGCGTCCCTCTGGGATTGATCAACTCCAACAGCTTTATCCTTTATCCTTTTTATTCAAGAAACTGCACGAGGTTGCCACCAATGTTAATTTTTGTCGCTTATTTACATTTTGGCATCTGGACTTTCTGCATAGCCGAAATAGGATGAATCGGATGTCAGCAGCAGTTGTCTCTTGCGGTGTCTTTTTGAATTAAAACAAAATGAAATAGAAAATGAAATCAATTAAACTTACTTAGCTGTGTTCTTGCTTTTAGGACTGCTCTTAACTGATTGTCAATTGGTTATAATTTGATTATAAATCTCTATTACTACCATCATTATTATTGTTATTACTATTATCATAGGAGCGTGCGTAGCGCACTGGTCCGAAGCGCTGTGCAATACACATGAGATCGTTCCTCGCTTTCCAAGCTCACCAAGGCCTCCATTCCTCCGGGGCCAGCAAACTGGTACCAGTTGTATCTGCGAGGAGAGCAGTACTGACTCGATACATTGGTAGGCCACCGTGAGTCACTGCAAAAGCCAGATATGCATTCAATCACCTTCAAACGACGCTTGATGTAGTTGAATGCATAGCGCATCCCTCAGGGATTGATCAATGCTGAGAGCTTTATCCTTTATCTTTTTTATTCAGTAAAATTCAATATGAGCTGCGACTCTTTAGTTCTCTATAAGTTGTCATACATAGCATTGGCCAAGATATTTTTCGTCACTTCAGTTTAACTCGAAGAAATCTGCAAAAAACTAAAAAGGGCTATTATTTTAACGGTGATATCACTGAAACTGTTCCATCTTGAATGCCTTGAGAAAAGTCATTCCTCACGATTTTATTTTCTCAATGTTTGCTTGTTTTTAAGCCATTCGAGTTATTTGTTTGCGAAGCACCACAGTTTGAGAAAAAAAACATCGGCTTATGTTATCGCAAAGGTATTAGTCATTTCCCACTAATTTCTCTCTGAGTTCAATATAAGTTTATGTGGAAAATTTTTAAAAGCTTAGAATTATTCACATTTCCAAAAGTAGTCAAATACTTTTGAAAAACCCTCCTCAAAATCGTCTAGAAACTAATCACGAAGAGTTTGCCTAAGCTTCAAGCTCATTGCCTAGGAGCTAGATCTCTGTCGTTCTACCAAACGTTTTCCCTAAGATTTTCATCTCAAATGGCAACGGAAAGCACCAAATTACAATTTCTCGAACGCTGCTAGAACACCCACGTCCGACTTTCTATTAACCTCGGCATTAATTAAACAATTCCTTCCACTTCTGCTCAGCAAACACGAAGTGCTATTTCGCTTCCCCACTCACGTAAAAGCTGACGTTTCGGCTGATTTC